TATATTTTTGTCTTTTATCTTAAATTTTTGAATTTCTATATTGTAATTTTAATAATTTATTATTATTATTATTATTATTTATTAATTCTTTTTTTTTATAAATATTTTATAAAATTATTGAAATCTTATAATTTTAATCTCTATAATTTTATCTTACTTTTCATTTTATAAATATAATTTAGATTATTTATTTTATAATTAAATTTTTTTTTTAATTTTTATATGTTTACAAAAAAATAATGTATTGAAATCCCTTAATCTTTGAGGGTACCGTAGCAACTCCCAAAAAATAATAGGCTGTGCTGTGTGTTTTATATAGCATTTTCTCTGGCATTTGCAACTTGAGAAATTTCATGGTTACTCTATTATTACCCGTATAACACGTTCAATGGCGAGTGTTTATTTTCCTCTCCACTTTATCAGAAATTAGCATACCAGGCATCTTTTGCAATTGGATGAACTTAGGAATGGAATTAGGGGTGATTCATATACTAATGAACTCAGCATTACATTTTTATTTCAAAATAATTACAAAATATTAAGTTCACACGTGCCATTTTATTTTTATTTATACATTTCATTTTAACATTCACTTTTTATGTGAGACATTTTTCTGTCATATATTAGCAGACAATAAAAATTTGTGTAATAATCAAGTACTTAGTACATGCTCAACAATCTTTGACATTTAGGTGTGTTTTAAAGTATGTGATTTGTACTACCGCACAATTTGTATATTTTTAATACTCTGAATGAGATACATCTTGTACTCTACCGAGTATAATTTAATAAAAATTCTGTTTTGATCTTAAAAAAGACACATTGAACAGTTATATGCAACTTAATTTTTTACTTTTAAAATGCATATTTTAGTCTTTAAAGTGCATGAGACAGTCTATCTGTTAATTTTTCAATTAAAAGCTGGTAGAATTTGTCAGATAATAAATTTGTCACAGCATGCAAGATTGATTCTCAATTAACAGAAATTTGTCAACTTAAAGTTAAAAGTAAAATACTTAATGGAAAATGGTTCATCTTACCGAAAGAAAAATTTTAACTGGAAGAGAAATTGATTCTTATATTTTTCATGAAAGAGGTCAAAACTGTGAATGACGCATTATTTGTAAATGCTGCCAAAAAACAAATCAAGGAACTTTGCCAATGCATGAAGATCTGAACCATGCAGCTTGTATTAACAGAAAATACACAAGAAATAAAGTGCAGGAAGGAAATGACAGAATATAACAAACCATGTAACTTGTATTAACACTAATTGAACAGTATAGCAATGATACATATGCAGTATTATCTCAGAGAAGCTGCATGCTGGGCAATTGGCTAAAACCCACTCCTACAATACTCTCTCTGTTCACAAAAAGTATATGAAGGATACAAAATCAAAACATGTAACTCAACTCTATTATGGACGAATAATCGGATAACTTTGCCACACTTGCTGATTCATGTATTTCTCCAGCTGAAAGGTACACCTGAATTATGCTTGATTTTCAAGATCAATCAATTCAAACCTGACAAGCCAGAGATTCAACAAGAAGATGCTCTGACTACCAATTAAGCAAACATGTTTCATTAACTCAATCTTTCTTTACAAATCCATATGTGCCTAATCTTACATGTGGCAGAGAACTAGTGACAAGAATACAAACAACAAAAATCATAACTGAAGAGCAAAGTTATACAGAATTTATAAGATAGGATATCCAGAGCTATCTATCTACCCTCAGATTTCACCAACTGTGAGAACACCCTACTCATAGAAACACCAGACAGATCATCCACACTTGAGCCTTCAAAGGGCGGAACAGTTACAGAAGCACTTGCATCCTGATTGAAATTGTTGACCCGTGGAGATAGTTCACCAATCATATTGGTGCTGTTTTCTTCAGGATCACCTTGAACCACAGCCTCCTGAAGTTGGAGAGCATACTCCAAATTCCACAAGACATCTCCCATAGAAGGCCTGTCAACACCATAGTCAGCCAAGCATTTCTCAGCAGTTTCTCCAAACTTTCTCAGAGAATCTGGTCTGATTTTGCCTGCAAGTGTTGAATCAATGATTTGCTCCAACTGCCCTTTCTGCTGCCATTTCATTGCCCATTCGGCCAAGTTTACCATTTCTCTAGGAAGTGTCGGATCAATGACAGGTCTTGCACAAAGAACTTCAAACAGAACCACCCCAAATGAATACACATCTGACTTTTCTGTTAGTTGTTGCCTCCTGAAATACTCTGGATCAAGGTATCCAAAACTCCCCTTGACAGCTGTGCTCACATGTGTCTGGTCAATTTCAGGCCCCGTTTTTGATAATCCAAAATCAGCAACTTTAGCCATTAGCTTCTCATCAAGTAGGATATTTGCAGACTTCACATCACGGTGAATAACTGCTTTAGCATAGCCAGTGTGAAGGTAATGAAGCCCTCTAGCTGATCCAATGCATATCTCAAGCCTCTCCTTCCAGCTCAAGCTTGGCAGACCAGAGCCATATAAATGACTCTTGAGAGTTCCCTTCTCCATATATTCATATATCAAGATCATTTCATTCCTTTCATCACAATAACCAATCAAAGACACCAGATGGCGATGGCGGAACTGAGACAGCATTTCAATTTCAGTTCGGAATTCTGCAAGTCCTTGTTGGGACCGTGGATTCCCCCTCTTAACTGCTACCTTTGTACCATCACTTAACTCTCCCTTGTACACTTTTCCAAAGCCACCTATCCCAATAACCCAACTCTCATCAAAGTTGTTTGTAGCTTCCTGAACCGCCAAAAATGGGACACGGTACTCAAAGTTTGAAGCAGCACTTAGTGTTGTGCCATTAGAATATTTACTTCCCATGGTATGAGAAGTAGTTCCATCATTGACAGATAAAGGAACCCATGTCTTTGACTGCCTTTGAGCCAACCTTCTTCTTTTCCTGCATAGTACAAAGAAAACTCCAGCCAAGACAACTGCAACAACTACCCCAACAATCATACCCACAATCACGCCAATTTTCTTAGAACTTGAACCAGAAGTAATAGCCACAGATGCTGCTCCTCCAATAAGACCGCCCATAGAATTGTTCATTTTCATGATCTCCAGCCCATTCAAAATGGCATTAGGAAAATTTCCCATGCTTGAATCAGAAGGGCCAATACTTAGGCGAAGCGTATTCTTGTCAGCCAAGGGTGTAACCAAATCTTTAAAATATGGAACACCCAAGACATTATTGCTATAAACACTGAGATCAACATTGGAGAGAGCCAGCTTGGAGTTAATATAAACATTGAAGTAGAGTTCATTGAGGCTTTTACTGACTACATCACAGAAGTGAAGCCGAACAAGGTACTGAAATCCTGGATTCACATCAAACTGCCATGTCACATTGAAAATATTACGTGGATCATGAGTCGAATTCATCTGTGTGAGAGTACCATAAACAGTAGGGGGAGCAGTGTTTTCTGTTGCTATCCCTCCTTTCTCATACTGAACAGCATCAATATTAGAAAAAAATGAGGCAAGGTTGGGCTCCAAAAGAAACCTTTGATCTGGAATCCAAGTTCTTTGAAGGGTGTCATTCATAGGGGTCACAACTGGACCACCCATGTTAATCCTCCAAACTGTCTCCAGTGCCTGTGTGACCAACCCAGAATAGGCTTCTGATGGGTCTAACACGGAAGCATCATCACCAATTAGGTCATCAGGGGCAGAAACAACTTCAATGGCATTCACAAAAGCAGTGGAATTTTGTGAAGGGGTAAAGGTCACAACAAGGGTGTCTGAGGTCACATTCACTGAGTACTCCTTCATGACAGGATCTTTCTGCATGTTGAGGCTACTGAAAAGGACATGGTCTTGAGTTGCAACAGTGAAATTTGTAACACTCAAATTGTATTTTTCATAATTGGAAGGGAAGAAATAGAGACGGATCCAGTGTCTCCCCCTTTGCTTAATTGGAAAAGTATACTTTGAGGATCCAGTGAAGATTCTCGCGGTTTTATAGAGAGGTGAATCATCAGAGGAAGTGTTTAATTTTAAGCTGGTAGTGGCAAGAATATGATCTTGTGTGGAGAGGAGACCCTTGGATGAACTATCCGATGTGAAATTGCGCCTACCTACTGAAGTAGTCGCAGGTGCACCACAATCTATAAGATAATTATCTTCTGGAACAAAGGTGGCACAAAAGCATACAAGGGGCAAGATTGATAAAGCACAGATAAACAAACCAATATTTCTCCAATCAATCATTGTGGCATCTAGAAACGAAAGGAAAAACCACTCACTGAGGATTTTTTTTTTTCCTTTCAAATTTTTTCTCTCTTTGAAGCTAATTAATCGAATCGTAGGAAGACTCTGGTACAAGCAGGAAAACAAAGCAGTGAGCTTCTACTAATCAAGCAAAAACTACACAAGTCAAACACACAGAAAGAAGGATAATAACAAAGACAGAATATTGAACCTTTGTACAGTTCCAGCAGAACCAATATTAAGCAAGGTAGAGAGCACAAGAGAAATCTGAATTCTGAACTGAAGTGCCCCTTTTGGATGTTTTGAAAGAAACTTTAATTCAAATACTGACAGGAGAAGAACAGGTTCAGTTCAGCAAGAATCTAGCTCAGCGCAAGCTGTAATAGTCTCGATGACAACCTTAGCTATTGACATATTCATTCATACATTTTTATTTATTTATTATTTCAAATAATAATAGAGAGGGGGTTCTCAAAACTCAAGGGTTGGGTGGAACTGGAACCATGTGGCGATGCAAATATACATTAAACAAATTAAGATATGTAAGGTAAGTGTGTTTAGGTAGCTTGCAATAGCAATAAAAAAAGGAATATCAACTGCTATTATTTTTATTATAATTTATAAATTATAACCAAATATATTAATAAGGAGAGAAACAGATTACAGATGGACTGTTAAGACAATACCACAGGATTGGTTTGACAATTTTGGATATTTTTGTTGGATGGTTTTAATTTAATACTGTATTAATAATATAAAGGAAAGTCGTGCCTGCCAGTGTGAATGTGTTCACATTTTTTAGGAAATTGACATGCAAAAGTGGGAAAATGAATCAAGTGTAATCTTATCGCGTAAAATTGAAGTTTCTCAAACACCACTAAGAACAAAAGTTCCTAAAAGTTAGTCGTAATTATTTAACAATACTCACTTGAAAAGTAATTTGTGAATGTACCCTTTTTCCTCCCGAGATTCTTGCATGTCAATACTAAAAAATAACTCCATGAGCTAATGTCATGTTTCAAACGATGATAAACGTGGCCTAGACAGTGGAGTAAATTTCATCCCATCTTATATCTTTTATAATAAGTAAAATAATTACAGAGAAGTTGAAAATTTTTCTCATTATAAAATTAAAATTGGGTTAGTTGATGACGGACTTTTACTTAAAATTAATAATGTTTGGTTTTACGTTTTTTAATTTGCTAGAAATGCCGTTCTCAAAGATAAATATATAAATAAATGTTCTCATCGAATTGAAATTTGAATCAGCAAGTTTATGTAGACGGAGCTCCAAGTGGATGATCCAACGATAGTGGTGAGTAATTCAAGAACTCTGACAGACATTTGACTGAGTAGTAATTTTAACAGAGTTTCAAATATATTATTTTTTATCGATTAAAAATTATAAAAATTGAACGACAACTCGTTAAATGATGAATAAATATACATTTTATGATTTTTAGATAATCATAAATAATATGTTTAAGAATGTGTTACGGGTAATTCTTTATAGTGTTTTAAAGATGATGAATATGATGGGTGGAGGAGCAATGGGCAGGCACATAATAGTCATTCGTATTATTTCAATAAGTGGTTCTAAAAAATGTGTTAAAAATTTCTCATGTCTTTAGGTCAACTTTTGCTTGGTAAGTTGATCTCAATTATCTAGCAAAATAAAATTTTCTTTAACAGTTGTTTACTTTTTCATAACTTCAACCATTTTTGAAATTTAAATTTTTTATACATTCAAGTTTCAAGTCCATTTATATTTCAAACACTTTATTTTAATTTCACATTATTGTTCTTCCTGCCTCTTTCAACTTTGAAATGTTTTTTAATTATCTACATAAAAAAAAAAAGTTGCTTTTTACTTTCATTAAAATTTGGCAATGACTAAAGTGGATCAATAAATAAGTGATTTATGAATAGGCTATCATTATAAATTTTTAGATATAAAAATAAATAATCATTCAAATATTTTAATAATAATAGAACCACTAATAAGATAAACTTATCTATAAACTATCCATTTAATGATCCATCTTAGTAATAGCATGTAAATTTATAATAATATTTTTAAGTGCTCTTAATTTAAATAAATTTATATTTAAATTTTAACATCTTTTTAATTTTAAAGTTCAATCTTCAAGTTACATTCTTAATTTATGTAATAAAATTTTGTAATTTTTTTTAAAATTTTTTTACATTTTGATAATATATTATTTATACTCTCCCACTTTCATAATTGAGATAAGTATAACAAGACATTTGTTAAAAATATTAATGTCTTGTCAATTGAGGTTAAAGAGTTGAGAATCCTCCCGATCTTATAAGCGAAAGTAGCATATCAAGACAAGTCTACTGATGTTGAATGTCGTAACATTTATCTGATAGATATATTTGTCACTTATTTGTCATGATTCAATCTCTAGGGTCGATTTTAACCTAATTTATTAGGCAATGATATTGGATCCAACTCATGTCACATGAACATACTATTTTGGTAGAAAGATATGAAGGAGAAGAGAGCAAAATCTCTCCTAACTTAATTTTAGTTTTCTTCTAATATTGGAATATTTTAGAAGGAAAATTAAATAATTTAAAAATATTTTAGATCTAAATAGTTACTAAATTTTCTTAAAATTTTTCATTCATCCCAAAACTTTATTAATTCAATTTCCTTCCAAGTAAATCAAATAGATATTTTATACGTAGTTATATTTATTTAATATCACAAAATAAATTTCTCATATAATTGGATTTTAGCATAAACAAGAGAAATTTTGTTATATATTTGCACATTAAAATCTTAATCAAATTATTAAATTAAGAGTTTGACTTATATAAATATTGTTTGATGGAAAATTTAACACTATAAAAAAGACAGATCAAAATTACATAATTCCTAGAAATGAATTTCATTGTGAATAATTATAAATTTAGTTATAACTTTTGAATAAGAATCTTTCAAAAAGTTTTTTTTTATTATTTCAATTGTGTCACATGATTTTTTATTTTGAGTATTTGTTCTATTTAAATTTTAAATCCACATGTATATCGATACTTACTAAAAATAAAAGGATATTCACTTTAAATATACACAATTTTTAAATTGTCTTTGTTTTAAAATTTTTTTACTATTCTATCTTTATAACTTTTATATTATATCTTATTTTATTTTTTTATTTATAATTACTTAAAAATCATTCAAATCTTTCAATTATTAACAATTGATTCTTATTTAATTTAAATTAATTTTTATCTATTATTTTATTTTTATTTATTTTAAAGTACACAAAAATATGAAGTGTCTCTTTCTTGCTAATATAAATAAGAATATTTTATAGATAATTTGAACATTTGATATTGTTATATTATTAATTAATAAATTTCAATTAAATTTTTTAAAATTTTTTGACATATAGTACATGTTTTGATTTAAATAAACTGTCTTTATTATTTTTAAATTTTAAATTTAATATTTTAATTTATATTTAATAAATTAAAATAAGTTATAATAAATTTCTAGTATATTATTTATTTTTTTATTATAAAATTATTTAAAAACATACACCGACAAATTAATAAAAATAGTAATTTATTATGGTCTTAACTTAACAGAAGAAGACGCAATAAAATAACTCATCCTGTATAAAATAGAGAAATGAGGTGACTTGTCACCAAATATGTACAGTAAGCTTACAGCTCGTGATAATGGATGCGATTTTATTGAAAAATTATATTTATACATTTAAATTTTTATATTATTATTTTATCATTTTATAATAAAATAAAAATCACACATTTAAATGTGATTTTAAATATATTTGAAGAAAACTTTAATTAAAATGCAATGACAATATAATTTGTTTTTAGTATTATTCAATTGCGGATCATCTATATATTAAAATATTAATTTTATAACAATTATTTTAAATTTTAATTTCAAATAATCGGCCCTATATATTAAACATGATTTTTTTTATCTTATCTATTTGATAAAAAAAAATTTATATATTTTTAATTTTTTTTATCTGATTTAATTTTTATTTACTATATTTATTTATGGTATTCAAACATAATATTTATTATAAATTTTAATTATATATAATAAATATTTACTTAATATATTGCACATGTTAAAATATAATATATATGTATGTGTGAGTGTATATATGAAAAAAATAAATAGCACTAGTATATATATAACAAAATGACACTAGTATATTTTTGTCAACTGTTACATTGTTTGACAACTTTTAATTAATTAATTATTTTTTAATATCGTTAGATTGAAAGTAGTTTATTTTTAGATTATATTTACAAAATTTTATATTAATCTAAAATAATTTGATATCTTATTTATATAGATTAAAATTGACGTAATATATATATTTAAAAATATACTAA